TGTGATTGTGACATCATGGCACAATGATTCTTATATGTTTAAATAACGTTTCAAGATTTAGTTTATCGTGTAATCAATAATAAATTCATTACAATATAATTATGTTTAAATTGCCGTTTTAAAAGTTTTTTTATGGTGTAATCATTAATAAATTTAATAAGCCTACAATTATTATATCGCATTAAAATTTAGAAAATCTGGAATAATTACTGAAATTAGGCTTATACTCTAACATGCTAAATGTTATGAGAAAACTACAGTAGGCCTATTATAACATTTAGAATGATAGAGTAGGCTAATTTTGGTAAATATTCCAGATTATTTTTTATTGTATAACAACATGCCCCACCTATTATATCAACTTACCCCGCATCAGGGGCAAATTGTTACACTTGACTTTACTTCAAAATATTTACAAAATCTTTTATGTAACCAATTTTGTTCATTATAGAATACCTAATTTTGATAAAGTACATATGTATCTTTCACTTTCATTCAGTTTCAATGTATGATTCGGGTTATTTCGCTAGATATTGGAATTTTTCTAAAAATCGTAACAACTAGCCTCGGTCTCCCCTATTTACGAGTGCAGCAAACATATCCAACATGGGTTTTTAATTCTAACTGTAATCTGTTCGATAGTTTCAGAAAACCTGATCATACAAGCTTAGCGACCTGAAATATTCCGTTGTTCGTATTGCCCTTACTGTTTTCACTATATATATATCTAAGAGCGACCTCTATAAAAATAGAATTATAGCTACGTGTTATATGAAAGATCCCGATATGTGGATATCGTACACAATATTGGGTTATTTATGGTACTTCATGAGATTGTACGGCGTTGGAGCGTAGTAGAGTAGTTTTAGTAGTGTGCTAGAAGAGTATTCGTAGCTAATCGATAGGGTCAGTGAATCGTCAAACATGTGTGGTAAGTTTAGGCTTGGTTAGTTGGTAGTATAATTATTAATAAGAGTTGAACTTGAAAAAAGAAACAAATAACATTTGGCAATGTTTACGTTTGTTCATATTGTTGATTTGAATTTCGAGACTTCACTGTTATTGTGTGATTGCGTCATAAATAAGAAATTAAATCATAAGTTTTTAACTAAACATTTTAAGGTTGACTAAAATAAAAGTAACAATAACATAATACTAATAGTAATACAAGTACTACTAATTTAGTACTATTACTAATAAATTAAACTATTTACTTAAGTAAAAAAACAACAACAAACAAACAAAACCTATTGTATTGACATTACTGTTGCACTTTTCAACTTGCACAAGTTGCAGTGATAAGTGAAAATAGTATGTGGTAATATCAATACATAACATAGTAAAGTCTAATTATAATTCAACTGTTTGAAACAAATCATCCAGAGTAACTCAGCCTATCTATGAAAGTTTTGTTATTTTATGCACAGGAGGTGTGTATGTGTATATATACAAACACTTCCCTTGATTTTAATTATATGCATTTCTTAAGCAGTAATAAAAACAAAATTGAAATGTTTTCCTGTCTACTTTTTATAACTTCTTGTGATATAAAATGTCTAGTACTAGTATTGTTACTATTAGTAATAACACATTGTCCTTCATGCTATGACAGTTCTTTGTTAAAATTAATACAAAATTTGTACACATTTTCTTCTGTATTTACATTTTGTAAGATGAAGGCAAGAGACACGAAGTATGAGGCTTTCATAACTAGTAATAGAGAGTGCTTACTTTAATATGCACTTTATAAAAAAAAAAAACAACCAAAAACTATGGGTAATGAAAAGTCTTTATTACTGTAAGTTAATTAGGCAGACATTGAAATTGTACTGTTGATAATTATCACCTAATTTGGCAATTGAATTTCTTGGTTTCTTAGTGATCCTTAGGGTGTCCACATTATTTAAACATAGTTACATGGTTACTTTCTTTGATGAAAAAATAATGAATTACAACTAACAACTAGATGGAATATGCTTTAGAAATGACTTTAAACCATTAACTGCAAAAATATATCAGCTAGCTAAAGTACATTTAAATGTATACTTTTTTGAAATTTTGATTGGTATTTTTTAAAATTTTGAATTGATATATTAATATTTAAGGTTTTTGAGGACTTGCATGTAACAGAAATTTAAAGAAAAACTATGTGAAATGTAAAAATAAAACTGAAAAGCTCCTGATAAGAAACATAATGTCAATTAATTCTTTGATGCAACAAATGAAATTGCTCATTCATACGTTTAAACTGTTAATTGTCTGACTAATGCCCATGAAGGTGGCCTTGTTTGTACCTTCACAGTTGCTATTTTTGTGGGAACCATAACTCAAGTCACAATTACATAAAGCTTGTGATAATTAATAATAGCAATAATTGAAAGGACTAACCAATATAATGAACTAGTTTTAAAATAACATGGCATAGAATTAAAACAATATTTACTTGCTGTTATTTATACATGGTCATGCAGGTATAAAGATGTAGATGAATGAAAATCCCCACATTTATTTCTTATTAAGATAATAATTGCTTTATGACTAAGAATATTATTAATGGTGAGGGTATCCAATTGATTAAACAATGCAACCTAATCATTATAAGTAAGAACAAAAGAAAAGTTTATTCAATTAGGTTATACTCATTGAGTTTTAGTTTTGATCCAAATAGATAGCTTACTTTTATCAGAAGTTAATATCAATTGGGTCACCTGATTTTTTCTTTTTTGTCGTTTTTTTTTTTGATAAACCGTGTAAACATTTCTAAATACTCAAAATTCTAGTGTAGCCAGGTTATACATATTTAACTTGTGTGTGTAGAGAAATTCTGAAGGCTTTGTGATTGGTTTTAAGATATTGAGCTATAGCAGAAATGTAATACTTCCAATTTTTTTATTGGATCATTGTGTATCTTTATTCAAGTGAATTAATGAAATGGCAAAAAAAATGTGTTTTAAATCTTCAGACACAAGGACCAGAAAATTCTGTACAAAATGATGTTAAAAATTTTTTCACAAGGTTATAAGTTTATCAGTACTACCAATGTTGAAATGTAAGATTTATAGCTGTTGATCTTGTATTTTTTTGTTAGGTATTATTGAGGTTTGATTAAAAACAAATGTATATATGCAATATTAATATAATTATGAAGTATTAATAGGAACTTGAAATAATAGTTTCATATAAGCTCTACAAATCTACCACTGTTGCTGATGAAGACACTGTTTTTTTTATCATTTTGGCTTCTCCACTGGAAATGTAGATTTCTCAACTTACATTTTCAAATGAAACAAAGTGCACAAATATTGGAGGTTCTGTTATTTTTTTATATTAAAGAAATTTTGAAGTATAACATTTCCTAACTATACTTGATAGCAAACTGACTAGAAATAATTAGTAGTATGGAAAGTAGTAATGATTAGGGGAGTTATAATTTTTTAAAATGTGAAGAGAAATATGTATAAACAACAATAATGTTATCTTTTATATACAAGGAAATTTTCCTGTACATGTATCCTCACATCTAAAATATGACAAGTGCATGTGCTATTTTTGGGTACCATCTGAACTTTAAGTGCAAGATAATTGAATGAAAAAGTAGAAACTAACATGATTTATGCATATGTGTAGCACATGACAGACACAGCTGTATGTTATAAATATATGTGTACTAGATCACATTTCAGCTTCAGGTAGAAGACTCATTTTCTGGAAGTAAATAAACACTGTTAAAGATTTTTTTACATTGGTATTGAAGAGTCTTTTACCAAATTTCTATTTTTCTAGAATTCAAAGCCATGTTTGAAAGTTTCAGCTGATTTCTTAATTCAGCAAAATTACATCTCTCTTAAGAACTATAACTTGTGAAATGGTTTATCTGATGGCAGTGTGTGTGTGTGCTGGATAAGTACATTTAGCTGAATGCCAATTTTGGGTATTAATGTGAGACTATGTACATTTTGGTTGTGATGTTTTGGTGCATGATCTTAATGGGTGGAATGATCTTCAACTTTCTCTTACTTGCATACATTCTTGTGTTAAACTAATCAGTTTCAGTGTACATTTATTATAAAATGTAAGCTTTTGTGGGTGTGTGTAATTTCTGAGGATAAAAACAATTCTTGGAAGAAAATATCTTATGAAAGTAATTTTCTTGTACAATGTGGGTTACAAGGAAATATGAAGGGAATTAGCAATACTTTTGGGGTCAGTAGCTCAAGGTCGCATTGCTACACACTATATATGTATTAGAAAGGCAAGAACAGGTTTGAACTACTTGTCCAATGTCTAAATATGAATGAGGTCTTCCTCTTTTCAGGTCTTTGTACTGCAATGACCTAGAAACTGGAAACTTAAAGGCTATTTTTATGACATGATGTTTTGATGCTGTTTTGTTACAAGTTCTTCAAGTGACATAAATAAGCTCATTGCATACATCATATATACAAACACAATTCTATCTTCAGAAATACCAAACAATTAATGAATATATCTATATAAATCTCCCAACCAGTTCTAAAAATACTGCATATATACTTTAGAAATGGAAGTATTTCACATAGGAACAATTAGTTTTATAGAATTGACTATTAGGACACAGTTCCATATTAGCAGATTTTTGCATCATTTCTGAGCAGTAATTTTTAAATTAACAGTAAATATAAGTGAAAGTGAAACTGGTTTTAGATTAGCTTCTTTTTTTTAAGCCTATACATTTATAATGTTAATTGAATTTTCATAAGTAAGAATAAAATTCAGCTGGTTAGTTACTGGTATTTTTAAGGAGTCTTAATTCAGTTAGGCATAGAAGAATGTAACTGAAAATTTATAAAATGCAATTTCGAAAGAGAAGGTTAAAAGTTGTTTTCTCTGGAGGAGAAATGGAAGCAACCTGGTTTAGAGTGCAAGGTGATTTGGAGCATGGATAAATTGTTTACATGTACATGGAAGGGAGGCCTGTTTATGTTGCACATGTAGAACGATAGCAATTCTGGAATACTGTAATAATTAGCTCTGAAAGTTTCAGAAAAGATATTGCTGGGCAGGATAGCATTGCTGTTTTGGTGTAAACATAAGGAGTAATTTGTTAGGTTGATGTTATATCGTTTGATATAAGTATATGGATGAAAAAGGATACATTTAGTTTAGTAGGTTTAATTTTCAACAGAGGGGTGACTTGAATGGGCTAAGTGGCTTTGAATCACCTTGCTCCTTCTATTGTGTTAAGCTACAGAAACAAATAAATATCATTTTCTTCTGATTAATTAACCTAACTAGTCTTTACAAATAACTGTTGAACTATGCCTACCATTACTTTGAAATAATTTGAATACTAGCTAAAATAAGCATTAAAATTATTTTCTCCAAATCTGATGAACTATGTATAGCAAAAAGACCTAGATAATGTACATATCCAAAAAAATATTAATATCAGAATGATATGAAATAAAAAAGTAACAAGAAAGTTATTCAAAATGAAGGATATGATTTAAATATCTACAAATACAATAATATTATAAGGTATTTGTTATTCAATAATAATTTCTAGATACATGTGACCATATGTATTGGGGCCAGAAACTGGCTCCATTCCCAACATCTAAAGCAGTTGTTTTTCCCACAAATCTAGAACACAGTTTTTTTTAAGGGGCTGACTTTTCTCCTCTTCCATTATTAACAAAAAATTAATCATAGTGATTGTGAATAAATTATATTCATAATTCTCACCAACTGTGATCTGTATTCTTTCAGAAGTGTCTAATCATATTAACTAATGAACATATTAGTCTAAAACTCAAAATTCTGGATACAAGCTGAGGAATAGGCCATAAAACACACTTTCTACACTAATAGATTAGTGTATTAAAAAAAGAAATTAGTAAACTCTGAAAAGCTGGGAACCATTTTTTGTATGTACTGTTTTACAGTTAAAGCAACTGTTATTTAAATCTGTTTGTAAATTCTTAAGTGTACAGATGATTTACTTATTTTCTCCAATTTTTAAACTTTACATGTTAAAATGACCCTGTTTTGAAAAAGGGCCTCTTTCCAAAACCTACAAATTAATTACTTCAAGCTTTTTAGGAAAGGTTATTGTACAGAACTTGAAGTGTTTAATTGTGACATTCATAAATAATGATGAAACATTTTCTTGTTTTGTATATGTGTGTGTTTTAACATTGAAAAAAGGCTATGTATTTAGAAACATGACATATGAAATAATTTCACTAACTACAGATGCTTATATTGTTAGTGAATACATAAGAATAACAACCATAGTTAAACATGCTGTTTATTTCAAAAGAGACAAATGTCTAGGCAGGGCAATATTTTTATTGTTACCATGGTACTGTTGGTAACAGGAAATGTGAAAAGAAGTCAGCATTTTCATAGGAAACTGGGCAAGTGGAACCTCTTGCAAGATTTGTTTGACTGCAGAAAAGTTCCTTAGAAAAAATACAAGATAAATATTTTGCAGTTCTATAATGTGTACAAGCCAGAAGGGGTATCACAGGAAAATTTGATTGAAAAGTCTATGATGATGAGAGGAAGTTTCAGAAAAAAAAATACCACTGTCTTTAAGCATCATCACTAATTTGGTTTGTCTCACCTGAGTGTTTTAACTATATGAAATTAAAATGATCTTGCCATTATATTTGCATATGAAAATAATAAAGATATGATATATTTACCTGGAAACAAATTATATGTAAATCTATAATATGCATTGTTATTTACATGATGAAATAGTTGGTTCAGAGAAACTTCCTTTTTTTTTTTCTTCTGAAGGTATTTTTGCATATCTTAATTACCTCGAGCCTCGCACTAGACAAGAAATATTGGAATGCTTGATCAAAGGTTTACAAAGACTTGAGTATCGTGGCTATGACTCAGCTGGTAAATTGTTTCAGATATTCTTGTAATTAAGTGCATGATCTTTATACAAGTGAATTTTTAAGTGTTTTAGATAATTTTAAAAGTATGGAGAGAGTGAAGTTGAAAGTATGATGCAACTTTCTAATTATTGTATATTGTATTTCAATATTCATTATCACTTAAGATGAACTAGTATTACATTATATGATTTGTAAGAATACTACTGTAAGAGACATAAGGATTTTTTTCCTTGATTTTGATGAACATGTTAAATATCCTATAGATTTATTTATGTTGTATTCCATTAAACATAAATAACCAAAAATATTTATTTTACCTTCTTGAACATGTGGAACAGCACAAAATATTTTTTCCAATATGGTACATTACCTCTTCTCACATAAATAGTTATTCTTGTTCAGTGCTGACCTCTATATGCAAAGATTTTTTTGCATGCCACAAACCTCAAGTTCCCACGTACCACATGATCAATGTAGTTGAACTGCATCTCGCATGTACAATATTCTCTCTAGTCTCATGAACCTGAGGTTAAGATGGTTTGATCCCCTTTCCTACACCCATCAGATGGCTGGGTTTTGGATTGCAGTTGATTTGCCACCAGTATAATCCTTATCCTAACCCCCATGTGGGTGTCAGTTCCCGGCGGCCTGGGTTTTTGTATGTAGTTGACTTGCTGTGTACGATCTATCACACCCTAGACACTCTACACCTGTAGGTACATCCTTTTACTTACACCCACATTTATGAATTATGGGATTGAGATTCATGTATAGTGTGGTTTGGATTGCTATCCAACCATAATTCTCTCCTTATATACTCCTGTGTCTGCCCATATCTACGACACCTTTTTTCCACACTAGGCATAGAGTATACCTGGTACAGAGGTGGTGCAGTCTCCCATGTATGATTTTTGGCCCCAAAGATCTCTTTGGGAGTGCCTTTGGATGCTTCTTTCTTTCCCTCGCAACAGTCCCTCCACCTGTTCAATGTGGGATTCTAGCTATTTACGTGAGAGGAGGTAATATCCCGTATTGGAAGTTATAATATTCTGTTACTTTAAATGTATTTCCAATAGATACTTACCTCTTCTCATACTTCCCACCCTTCTTCCCCATTGAAAACTGGTGCTTTCATTTTCTGCTTAAACTTGAAATGATAGTTTGGTAGAATTGAATAGAGGTAGTCACATGTGGAGAGAGTATGTCACTATCTTATTGGTGGAGGGTTGTTGCATGATGATTTGCATGTGAGACTCATTGGAATCAGTCAATTCCATATGGGTGGGAGCATCAAGGCTTGTAGCATGTACAAACATTTTTTTTCATATAGAGGGCAGCACTGAATGAAAATAGCTATTTATGTGAAAGGAGGTAAGTACCTATTGGAAATATATTTTCAGTATAGGAAAATTATAACTTTCTATATTTTAGGCAGACAAAAAATTTTAACACATTTTAAGTTTATTTGATATAGTTAGAATCCAAGTTAATTTTGTTTTGTATCTTGAGTTTGAAAAGTTAATATTTTTCATGCCGCAAAGCTTAGCAAACATACTTATTTTCTTTTGTATGCTTTTAAAGAACCTTCATATTTTTTCCCTGTCTATCAATCAAAACAAACACCAAAAATAACAGTTTTCTGAGTATAAATACATAATTTATTACTGATTATCTGCAAGTGGTTTTATTCTTTATAAATAACATTTCACATTCAGTATATCTACATATAAAATTCATGGATGCACTTTATTGTGTTAACTATAGATTAAAAATAATTAAAATAGTGTTAAAATAAGATATCATTTGACTAATTATTTTACACACTTATTACTAATGTGAAATAGAAAGTAAAATGATTTTGTTTGCTCTTCTGGTACGGTATAAGTGGATATACTAAACATGTTGAATAATTGCCTTTTGAATGAACTTTAAACTATAAATTTCTTTTATGTCATGTTATATTTGAGATATTTTTCCAGTTCATTGTAAAAATGGTTACAAATTTTAAGTTAAACACTTGAAATTCTCACATTTAATTTGTTAAAAGTTCTCCTTTGACATTTAATTAATATATGAAACACAGTAGGATAATTTTTGGATAAATGTAATGTGGATCTTTTAGACACTGTAACATGGTTTGCTTTTGTATTACATATTTTCTTGGTATTTAGGTGTGGCCATTGATGCAGATGTTGAAGGAAAGCAGATTGAAATTATACGCCGTAGTGGAAAAGTTAAAATGTTGGAGGATACAATATGGAGTAAGTGGTTTCTGTGTGTGATTGTCATTAAAGTGAATAAAATATTAAGGATTATATATCTTTTGTAGTTCTAAGTTTTTGCAAAAGTTGTTAAGGATGCAAACGCATTATAAATATTCTGTTTAAGCTTATTTTAAAAAAGCTGCAAAAGTAATTATCAGTGAAATATTTGAGTAAAATTGTACTTTGAAATTGTTTGCCAGTCAAAATTGAAAGCTATTCATTGGGAAATGTAAGTACATGTATTTGCAATCTACTTTATAGTATTTATATTACAACCATCTAAGTTATATTTAGGTTGATACACTTTTAGGATTAATTGCAAATACCTACTAAAATATGTATTAAATTTGATATTCATTGTGAACTTTCACTAGTTCATCTTTTGGGCTTTTTTACCTGATCTCAAAGAAAGCCAACTACAACTTTAATGTTGGTAAAGCTTATGTAAAACAAACTAATAAATGTAAAGTCAATTTAGGATCTAGTTTTTTAGCACCCTCACCTTATCTCTTGTTATTCAGTGGCTTGAATTACAGTTTTTTGCTTAATACTTGGAAATTAATTGAAGAACTTGAGTGTCCCTGACATCTTTTGATACCATTTTTGTAGTCTTTTCCCTCAGTCTTATACACTTTTTCTCTTTGTTTTTGTCCAGCATGATTTGAATGAAGCTTAGATGGATATTACTTATTTGCAAAATTTCATATAGTTTACAAAACAAAAAATTATACTGGAAATCAGTCAATTACATTTGTACTGAAATATAATGGCACCATTTGATGTTTGTGGAGCTGTTTCATGCATTGTAATTTGTACCATGTTTGTTTAACTACTTTTTGTTTGATCTATGAAAATAAAGCTTGTAGTGAATGACTTCTTTAATTCACCATATTCTTCCTTCTTGTAACAGTAACTTGTTTATAAAAATAAATTATTTACTTGTGATATGGTTTTACCTCATCTCACACACAACTATCTTGATGTGCTTACCATGACACTTGGGAGATTTCTGGTCTCTGGTCGTTCAAAGATTCTTCTCTCCATACCAACATTCTTGAACTTACGGCAGTTCATCAAGCTTTGTTCCACTTCCTTCCTCTCCTGCGAGAGAGAGTGGTTATGTTACACTCCGATAACTCCACAGTGGTCACTTATATCACCAACCAAGGAGGTACCAAATCCAGGTCTCTGCTTTTAGACCCTGTATTTCCTTTTCTGGGCCCACATTCACCACACAATGATCTTAGCTTGCTATGTTCCTGACACCCTGATTCTTATTGTGGATCATTTATTTTGATCCAACAAGATTCTCCCCATAGAGTGATCCCTCAATCCACAAGTCTTTTGGTGGGTGTGTTCTCAGCTGGGAACACCTCATATCGATGCTTTCACCACCCATTCGAACACCAGACTTCCTTCCTTTTGGTCTCCCGTTCCACACGTGCTAGCTCTTGGAGAGGACACATTCAGTAAAGATTAGAGGGGGTCATCACATCTATGCTTACCCTCCTATTTGACTCCTCTCCAGAGTTCTATCCCTAATATAAACCACTCTGTGTCTAGTCCTACTTGTGGCTTTGTATTGGCTGGAACAATCATGGTTCTCTTTGCTATGTCCTTTACTTGTATGGTCTTCCCTACTCTTACCACTGTCGTGGTCTCTACTCTGTCAAATTCAGTCAGACTTTGTTCATCCAGACTTAACCACACTTCATCTTCGTGCATGGCTTTTGTCACATCCATTGCCTCAGCTCAGGGACTGACTCCATGTGTTGCATCTTTCCTTTCTTGATCCATCAGATCTTCTTCCATGTCCATTTACCATAAGGGTGATGTTCCATATTCTGCCTTTGGTCTGTTTGACATGGCTTCCATCCTTCACACCCTTCTGTTCCTTAAATGTTAACGACATAAATATCTGATTGACAATGGCTACAAGGAAGGAGGAGAAGGAAATAGGACTTGAAGGAGAGATGGTATTTGAAACACATAGATGAAGGTTCAATGGAAGGACAGGTAAAGGCATAAAGAAACACACTGGGGTCCCAATCAGGCAAATAAAAGGAACATGGAAGAAACATAACTCAAAAGGAGTAAAATGACAAAGGAAGCCAAAACCTTATGAAGATTGGAGAAACAGAAGGTATTCAACAAAGCTGCCCAATAGCTAGACATGTCTTTGTTAAACAACCAAGTGAAGAATTGGGAAAGATCCCGTATCCTGTACCATTCCTCTTTTGTCATCCTATATTCCAACTGGTCCTTCCTCCCCAGGACCTATGCTGACCATGAAGGTGATTTGGCTTTCACAACCATTTCTTCACCTTCCATCTCCTATTTTTACTCCCATTCCGATACTAATTTGCCTTTTATCTGGTTTGCTCCATATTTTGTTAGGTGGCATATATTGTCTCCTTTTGGAGTTCATGTTCCCAATTTTTTATTCCCTGGAACCTTTCTGTTTCCCATGATCTATACCCTGTCATGCTAATTGGTTGGGTTCATCAATTTGTTTGATTGATATATTTGGACTAATCCATGGAATGTCACTGTCTCCATAACACATCTCATCAAATTTGTCATATCACAATGTTTTTGGCTGCTTGCCTTTACCATCCTTTGGAGGAGATTGTTCAGGCTGTAATGTTAGGACTACTCCTAATACCTTTGCCAGTTATTATCTGCATGATATGGCTGTATCTTCCTTGAGTGGATATTGTTTCTCTCCCATGGTGATTTTACACATGTCTGTTTACCTTTGACTGGAGTAATTCTTATCACTTCCTTTCATTTATGTTTTTGTTTCTAGCAACTCTCGTTTTCACTGCTTGTAATGGGATTCCACTCTGTGGTAGGTGTTGCCTGGTCAGGTAGCTTTGCCTCAAACCTGTACTATTTAGTGAAACTCTCTTCAGATATCACCCGTTACAGCTAATCTAACAATCATGCAGTCTAACTTCACCTTCACTAGCTTAACTTTTACTTACTTAACTTCACTTAACTCAATATATATATACCACTGGGTATACCACCAATGGTCTTGCAGAACACCCAATCTCTACAGTGAGTATTAGAGTGCAATTGGTGTTTAACAGAGGTAATGGAGAATAATTTGTCTTATCAAAGGGTGTTCTAAAACAATTGAACCTGCCTGTGTGGACGTTGATGAAAAGGAGACAATTATTTCAAATTCTGGATATAACTGTGGCAACCCATGGGATAACATAAGTGAATTTATCGTAGATTGTGCAGTAAGAAATAAAGTAGAGAAAAATAATTAATCTTGTCAGTTGAGTTTTAAAGTAACTGAACTAGCCTGTTTGGACTTTTGATGTAAAAGAGAATTATTTAAAGCTCTGTATACAACTGTGGTAACCCACGGGGTAACATACGAAAACTTACCACTAACTAAATTGTGATAACAAAAAAAAAAAGGGGAGGGAATTCTTTAGAGTTTTAGATACAACTGTAATATACCAGTGTAAAGAATTTTTGTACATACACTTGACTTGTTTTGAATATATTATTTTAAAACAAGTGGATTGTGTGCTGTCCATTGTTCCAATTTATCCTCAACAAGTCACAAACACCTACTGTAAAAGAATCCCAGCCCATATACAAGAATCTGGCAACAGTCTTTATCAGTTCCCAGTCGCTGAAGTGGTGGACCATGGAGGTTTCTTCCCGAGTGTGTTTAGAAATTTAATTTACCATACATACTCATGTACCCAGTGAGAAGAGGGTAAAGCTGGTTGAATTTGGGGGACTTTGTCTGCCTCCTAATACTGACAACTGTTCCTACAGTTGAGCGAATGTTCCATGTCCTCTTCATAATTCTGGATGCAGGATATTTCTTCCCACCATTTACAGTTGTGTGGTTTATGATTTCTGCTCATAATACTAGTTACAGATATTATCCTGTTCTTATGGTTGAGTTGGGGCAATGCCACATTCCTGTAATGCCAGGTTTGGTTTGTTGTACTCTGAGAGTTTGTCTGGTTTTGGCCGAAAGCTAATTTCCTCTTTGTAATTCTGATTTCTTAATGTATGACACTCTGTTTACTTACAGTTTGAGTTGCTGAGTATATGTAACATGGTTCTCATGCCTTAACCCCTATGTTTATGTTACAATATATTTGTTTCCTTTTTTCTTTTTTTATCCTCAACCTGCTAATGCTGAGAATGAGTTATGTAACCTCATCTTTCTGGTTGAAGTTGTATATGTACATAAATAATTAAATTTTTATTCTACTATGGATTGCATCTCTTAGAACAAATTGCACTTGGCCCCCATTTTATATATATATATATATATATATATATATATATATATACTAGTATCAGATTAATTTACCTTACTTACTACGGAGGAACGAGACACTACCTGTTGTC